CACAAAGTTGGGCGACACTGCCACCGATTTTTTACGCCATTTTGTTTCTTGTGTTGTGCTTTGTTCTGCTGTTGTTGTTGTTGTTTGCGGCGCGCCCATCAGGACGTGCCTACTCCGCTCGGGCTGCTACTGCTTTTGCTGCTGCTGCTGCTGCTGTTGTCGAGCTCACCTTTTGAGCTTTTAAATTATTTTCCAAGCACGTAGTTCTGTCGGCTGTTTGCGTATTTAAACGTGCGCGAGCTTTGGCCGAGGGTGTGAGAAACGCAGGAAGTGAGTGAAGGAGAGAGAGAGAGAGAGGGGCTGCTGTCGCATCTCCCGCTCTTTAAAAGGATTTACACAATTTGCCTCGGCTGTCTGCCTGTGTAAATGTGGTGTGTATGTGCGGGTGTGTGTGTGCGTGTCTATCTGTTGGGCGCTGTGTTGACAAACAAACAGCGGCGTTGAGTGACTGAAGACAAGCGTCCCGCGTAGCAAAGGACCTAGGAGTACCAACAACTGGGAGCTTTGTTTGACAATGTTGCTGTTGTTGTTGTGGTCGTTGTCGTCGTCGTCGTCGTCCTTGCTGATGCCGCGCATTCATCCTGCCTTGTTTTTAGCAGAGCAGTGCCTGCTTGTTGTTGCTTTTGCTGCCTCCGCGCGTACGTGACTTGCATTTATTTTGCGGGAAAAGCAAAAGGCGGCACGGCATACAAAAACTCGTTAGTAATTTAGCAGTTGTTGAGCCACGGAGCCACGCTTCCGACGTGCCAGGCCATAGTCCTTGCTCGCACTGGCTCGCCATGTTTTCCAAAGCAATCAAATGCTCGTATATATTCATATACGATGTGTGCTAACACTCCCCAGAACCAAAAAAATAAAAGTAGAAAATAAAAGAGGGCCAGTCTATTTGGACACTCGAAGGGTTAAGCTAACAAAAAATAACCGAATCACACTGAAATTTTGAATTGTTCCAAAACAGGCACGAAAAGCTCTAACTGCAAATAATTCCATCAACACGAAGCGGCAAAAACAAGAACAACAATAACAAACTCACCTAAGTGCAGCAGCAACTGCAGCCATGCAAGAGCAACGACGATTGATAGCCACTTGAGGCACACACACTTCACAATGCATGCACTTAGAGAAAAAACAATTGGATCGACTTACAAATCACAATTAAATTAAAATCAATTTAAAAATCGAATCATTTATTTAACAGTTTATTCAGCAATACCTAGAATTATAATTGAAAATCAAATTTCGTCCATTTCTTTAGCAACTTTAAAGTTTTACCCAAAATAGAGAAACAGCGAAACTCACTTCCAGTTTTTAATATGAGATAAAGGCGAAAATTAAGAGAGGATTCCAGACAAATGGTCAGACAAGATCAGTTGGCCTGTATGGTTCCATAGACGGCTAAGATGCAAATTTCCAAGTTGCGCTTGCTTTTCGCAAACTGAATGCCATGAATATGGAGTGGCATCGTGCTTTAATAAAAATATTAAGTGTTTTAAAAATGTGCATTTAAATTAAATAGGAGACCCCTTTTGACCACTTAAAGAACTTAGGTGCAGAAATGCCACACATCGTTAAAAAATCATAAAATTTAAAAAAACGTGAAAACCTTTTCTACAAGTATTTAAAACAAAAAACCGCTTTGCAAGCAGACAAAGTGACATACGAAGGATTAAAGAATAAATAAATTCATGACGAAATTAAATAGCAATTCACAGAATGGTTATTAAAAATGTGTGCTCTGAATTTTATTTGATGAAAGTTGTTTTGGATATTAAATTCGACCTGATACCAATTGCTATATAACATGATTCTGCAACATACTTTTTATAGAATTTTCACGTTGGATTGTTTGTATATGTATACATTTTATATAAATAATATTCATTTAATTTATGTGGACTCTTTTTGTTTATTAATCTTAATCTTAATTTCAATAATAGTAGAAGCTTATGCTGCTGGCAATGCGCGTCGTACTTATTACTCCAAAATTGTTGAAAATCTCAATCTTAGGTAGGCTTAGCCTAGTTTATTCTAAAAATAGTTATTTTCTGTACGCTGCTAAACAGAATAAGAAGGCGAAAAAACTTTATATTTCTGGGCCCAATTTATTGACTTGCCCACTTACGCAAGGGGGCTTCAGAATTGGTTAAGTTTTAAATGCTTGATGGTAGTTGAACTTCTGAAGCACAAAACTTTTCTTTGAGTGCAGAAAGAGACCCCTCCTGTGGAGCTGGGAACGCGAATTGACATTGCACAGTGCACCACACACAGATCAACATTGGGCGCGCACTTTTGCACAGTGGGACACACACATAGCAATAATAACAAACAGCAGTCGGTCATAGGGTAGCGTCAGCCACACAGCATGACTTTCCCCAAATTACACTCGAATGTATGCATTTGTAGACAACATGTGTGTGTGTGTGTGTGTGTGTGTGTGTGTGTGTGTGTGTGTGTGTGTGTGTGTGTGTGTGTGTGTGTGTGTGTGTGTGTGTGTGTGTGTGTGTGTGTGTGTGTGTGTGTGTGTGTGTGTGTGTGTGTGTAAGTATGTAAGTGTGTGCGGTAAATGTTTGGGGCATTAATGGTGCAGCTCCCGTTGTGAACTGCCGGCAGCAGCTCGAAAGAGTTATTGAAAATGTTTTATTGTGTGCGTTTGATTGCTGTAAGTGTGCATGTTTGTATGTGATGTATGTGTGTGTGTATGCATGTGATGTATGTATATATGTGTGTGTGCGAATGTCTGGTGTCTAACTTATAAATATTTCAATAACATTTGAAGTGCGCCTGGTTTTGGCTGAATGGCCTGCCCGCCTGCCCGACTGCACGCCATCCTGTCCAACTCCCACCCACACACACAGGCACAAACTTACACAAATGGAAATGGGAATGGAAATGCACTTTCCATTGTGTGCGGGTGTCTAGTGCTTTGGCACTCCAAACGGCAACGGCAACGACAACAGCACTGCACTTGCCATATTTGGATTACAAAACGAAAGCGAACCAAATGCAAAGTGTGATGATTGTGTCGATGATGACGATGATTACGATGACGATGATGATGTCGATGTTTGTGCGTGAGCGCCTGCACAATGATGTGAAATAAATTTGACTTGAATTGTGATTACTTAATATGTACTTGAATGGATAGATATTTAAGCTGCAGCTGTCGAATGAATTACAAAATTGAAGCTATTTTATTTATTTATTTATGTTTAGAATGAGTGAGAACAATTTTGGCTTTAATTGTGATCAAAATGTGTTTAATCTCATCTTTTAATTTATTAATTTAATTCAATTTTTGCACAAAATTAATTAAGTTGGATCGCTTTCAAAACAACTCAAACAATATTTTTATTGGAACTTCATTGAAAGCGAAAAAGAAGAGGATTTCTTGGTATTTAAGTATTTTTTCTTAGGAAGTTATATAGCAACTCTGTTTTAGGTTTTCCCATTGTTTTCTGCTTATCAGATTATTCATAGTTGGCTTTATATACATATATCTGAAGACCTCTGGCACTTGTACCTATTTTCACTGCTTTTTAGCTTTTCAGTTTTTCGTAGCATTTGCAAGCTGCTTGCCAGCCATAAAGTTATGAAAGCAGCGCAATGAAGCCTGTGACATGGCCCAGTTAGTTGGGCGTCTGGCAAAAGTTTAACTCAATTACTCGACTACACGTGCCAAAGCATACGCATGCTGGACCCCTCGTCCCTATCCCGCCTCTCCGTAAGCCCTTTGATGGGCCTATACTAGCTGTAAGCTAGTGTGCCGTGGAGCTGGCTGACCTGTTTAGTTGGCCAAGTGTGGCTAAACATTAAGCAACAGCCACATAGACTGCCCTGCCGGCCGTGCAGCCGCCTTCGAATCCCTTTTCAAAACTCATTAGCACAAATTTGTGCTATTCAATAGAGTTGCAGGTACGCCTTGGATGCTACTGGCGACTTCTTACCTTTGGCGCACGCCCCAGCAACTATGCTGGCTAATTTGCTGCCTGCACCTTGTCGAGACGTTGGGTTAGAGTGGGAGGACTTACACTTGAAAATAATAAATATTACCCAAAGTTTTATTTTTAAAATGCGGGTATATGTTACTCTAAAATATACAGCTTCAAAGTATTTTTAAGCAACTTCTTTATTTAGGGAAAGAATTTCTAAGCAACTCCTTTTTTTAGGAAATAATAAGAAATTTCCTCAACTCACTTGTATAATGTATAATATATTTTACAATATAGTCGCATAATAAGTGAGGTTATGGCTTCCATTTCACTTCGATTATTAGCAACTTGTATCTGCTTGAAAACTATCTTCAATACAACGATTTTCTAAAATGCGTGATTTCTGTCAACCCACAAGTAAATTGAAAATTGTTCAAGAACATGCTAAAATCTAACAAATTTCAAATTTCAATGAAAAAGTGTAAGATAAAATTTTAATTGTAATAAAAAAAGTGCAAAGTACAGGAATAAAATAACCGTTTTTAGTGAAATTAATTCAAAAAGTCATTTTTTTTGGAAATACTCCTATAGTGGTGAGCTAATAAATAATCGGTGGAAATCACAAGAGAATCCTATCACATAAATCCGTATATCCTCCAAATATGACAATGTTTTTCGTAGTGTATGAGAGTGTGTGATTGTTGGCCCAAAATGCCAAAGCGTTTCGCTAGATTTGTGCGGCCTACAAATTTATGCTGATTGTGCGGCAATTTACGAAAATTCGTGAACCCAAAAAGGGCTGCCTGGCGGCACATGGCTGGCCTTAAATTTGAAAATTGTAGCAGCCGGCAGCGCTGGCAGCCCTGCACGTAACAGCAGCCAAAAACTTCCAGCAAATGCGGCCATGTTCCGGCCAACTAGTCACATACTTTACGTACATAGTACTATATTTATATACACACAGGACACAGCCTTTAAACAAAGACAACGAAAGCCAAATGTTAAAATTGTTTAAGCTACAACATTTTTCTAACGCTATCCTATCCCTTTGCTCTGCTCTGCTCTTTCCAGATATTGCTGACTTTCTTCTGGTTTATTGACTGCAGCGACGGCGAGTTCTAGCGGTAAGTAAACGGTCCGCGCCTTTGGCAACCTTTTCTTAACCTTTTGTTTGTGCCTTGGGTTTTGGGTCGACAGCTTCCTATGCAAAGTATCTTAGAGTTGAAGATGAACAGGGTTGGGGCTGGGGCTGGGTGTGTTGTTGTACAGCTACTCATATTTATTCTGTCTAAGCCCAAAAGCTTAGACTTGGACGCTTGGTTTCCGTTTCCGCCTTTGGCTTTCGCTTTTTCATTTCCGCCTAATAAACTACATAATTAAACTGGCAGCAATGGGATTAAAGGATTCGTTGCAGCCATGTGTATCTATTCAGCTACTCAGCTATGTCGGTTGCTATTCATATTGTTGCTAATGCTCTTGTTGTGTTTGGTGTTGTTGTTTTTGTTGTTGTTGCTGCTGTTGCACCCACTCCATTAACCTCAGCTCGTCACGACTCTACTCAACTCGACTCAACTCGACTCGCCTCGGCTCGTTGCCATGCCTCGAACGCCTCACGCTCAAGTGAAGTTTCGTGGACGAATTAAGCTAAATTAATTTTTGTGCTTTGCCGTTTGAGTTGTTGTTGCTGTTGCCGTTTTTGTTGCCTTTTCTTTTGCCTAAGTCCTTTGACTTTTGCCTTGTTGTGATGCGCGCCTCTCTGGCAGCCAGCTGCTCCTTCTTCTCCCACTTGCCTAATATGTTTGCCTGCTTTGCTTGCTTCATATTAAATTAATGATGTGTTTTATGCTGTTGTTGCTTATACTGTTGTTGTTGTTGCTGCTACTCTCAAGCTACTCCTACTGGTTGGCTGTTTTGCAGCGAAAAAAAATCACAGCAAATGCGATTTAGACGCCAAAGCGCAACATTAGCAGTAAATAAAATAGGATAATGCGGCAAGTCGACCGCAAGCGGTTGGCCAACAAAAAAATAAAAAACTCAAATAAATAGTAGCATGATAGACGGCAAGTCAGGGGCCTAGAGCGTTGCTTCGGCCGAGCCGCAGTACAAACTGAAATAAAAGTGGCAGAAGGAGCTTGTAATACTATGAGATATGGCCAGACCTGTCACTATTTCTGATGTATAACTGCAGAATATTCCTTTGGGATTTCTCAAACACTTTCAAAAAATCAACTCAAAATTCAAAAGACAACAAAAGTAGGATTGTGGAGTAATTGTGTAGAAATATTTAATTGCTCGATAATGCGAGTATTTCAGATTGTTTGTTAGTTGGGGATATCGTAGCACTCATGCCATTTATATAAATCAGGAACAATTCTTCATAATGAGTAATATAATTTCATGAGAAAGATGTCAACGACTCATTAGAATAACAACAAGGGCTATCTTACAAGTCTCATTACACCGCTGACACATTATGTGGTTTTCTGCATTTAAAGCTGAAAGAAACTAAAAGTGTATACAATCAAGAAAATTGCAAAGCTGTAGAAACTAAAGATGCTTAGGAAAAACACTGCAACTGCTAAAATTTATAATCTAAAAACCGTCATTAGGGCTTTGCATTGTGTGTTCAAAAATTGCATAATCCTATCAGCCACAGATTGTGCGTTCTGTGGGCCTCGAAATGCAGCTGCAGATAGACGGGAGGACACAGGGAGAAAGGGGAAGGGATTATGCGCCCCTAAATGTTGTCAAGTTGTTAGTTTTTTATGCACATAGGCCACACATGCATATAAAGGAACAAACGTAATTCCCCGTGGCTCTCCCTTTAACGTGCAACTATCACCTGCCTGGTTGCCATACGAAGAACTCTTCCAGGACACACACACACACACATTCACGCACACACATAAACGTACAGATGTAGAGCAAACGGATGACTTAATATAATCTGTAGCGTCACGTAAAGACAAGCAAATAATTCTGTAAACAATTTGTACAATCTTCGAGCATCGAAGCCAAACACCGAACCACAAAAATCAAACCAAACTCATGGGTTGTCGCTGCTGTCCAATCATGCGTCTGCCTGATGTCTCCTGTCCTGTCTTACACAAATATTTTGACAAAACGCCTGCTGTTTCCACATAAATATTTATATTTGCCTTGTGCGATTGCCTTGCCACACACACGCAGTCGCCTAAGAGCCACAGGATACAAGCACTCGCACTCGCACTCGCACACACATACAAGTATATAATCTATACATAGTATGTATATATGTGTGCGTGTACCTTATCGTGGGCCAGACATCAATTCATCTACCTGCAGCGCATATTGAACATGATATGCTCGCAGCGCCAACAATAGCCTCAGAGCCAACAAAAGCAACAACAGCGGCAGCGACCAGCAACCAGCAACCAAGCCAAACCAGCACCAGTACCAGCATCTTGTAGATACATTTGGTTGCATGGGCGCGCGTATCTTTAACATCTACTCAAACAGCGCATTAATCTGTCGTGCGTATACAAATTTCTTGGCTCGCATTGCATTCAACAACAACATCGTCTTCGCCTGAAATCGAATCCACAAAAATGCAGTTAAATAAATTACAAACGCTCTGTCACCCAGCAGTCGCGTCGACTTTGGGGCACATGTCGCAAGATTATCGCCTGCCGGGCATCGGATTCAGCATCGCCAACGGCTTCGGGCCCCAAACCAGCAGTCCCAGCCGGATCCGAGTCAGCATCAGAGTCAGAGTCACAGGCCAGCAAGCAGCTTAGGCCATGATTAAGAAGATTTTTCTTGTGTTCGCTCATGTTCGATATACGAATTTTTCTTTTTAATGAATTTTGTCGTCGTCTTCGACGTCGAGTCGCGTCGCTGGCCAGAACAACACTTACATACGTATTTATCCTGGACCCCATCTACTACCCAGTTGCCGTCCCAAATTCGGTGCCAGAACCAGAGCCAGTCCCAGCGTTTGCGTGTTAATGAAACAAATGCCTGAGCCTGAGCCAGCAAGCTCAAGTTACCGCGCCCAAGCCTTAGCAATGTGACATTACCACAGATGGGAAATTTTGTAGCCGCTACTTCTACTGATATAAAGATACAAAACGTATCTTGAAATTATATCGCGCACATTGCTCAACGTGTGTGGGTTCAAATGAGCACAGGCGAGCCAATACTTTGTTTACTCGAGAAGCATTTATGTCACAGGACAGAATGTTTCACGGCCAGATATCGTATTGCCGCTGATACACTTACTACTATACTATACACTATACTTAAAGGCTCTACAATTTTTGCTGGTTTTGGGCAGCCATCATACTCATAGTTATCTGTACAGTGTAAATTATCACATTCAATTCAAAAATTGTTAAGATCTTACTGCTAGTATACTATATTACTTGTATATGAAATACACTGACCAGTCATTTCATTTGGCTAATTTTTTACCACGGTTTGAATAAATGTTTATTAACTACTTAGTCCGTTTCAAACCACCTTAAGATCTACGGACAATCTATACATATTGCAACTGAAATTTCTATCTCAGACCATTTTTGAAGCACTTTTCTGTATAGTACAGTGGAAATTATCACATTCAATTCAGCCAAAATTGTTCAGATCTTACTGCTAGTACACTAGATGAAATATACTGACCAGTCAAGAAATCTAGAACAGCCTATACTCTCTAAAATACTTTTATATCCTACCCTTTCACATTTGGCTATCATTTTACCACGGTTCGAATAAATATTAAATAACTTCATAGTGGGTTTCAAACCACTTTAAACTCTACAGATAATCTTTAAAAATCGCAAATTTCTTTCTGAGACCTTTTTTGAAGCAGCTTTCAAACCTAAAATGTGTCCTCTAGCTCCTAAGACGTCCTCCATCTGGCACTGCCTTGAATTATTTATGGAGGAATAATGTTTGGTAAGCAACAGAAAAGGGTGAATAGCTTCGGCGCAGACAAAAATAACTTCGTCAAGAAATCTAGAATAGCATATATTCCCCGAAATATATTTATGCCCTTCCATTCCGCTTCGAATAAATTAAATAACTTTCTTTCAATTTCAAACCACACTAAAACTTTACAAACAATCTATACAATTTGCAATCTAAATTTTTGTTTGAGTTAAGTTCCTGTACCATATTTGAAGCCCTTTTCAAACCTAAAATATGTTCTATAGCTCCTGAGATGTGCCCCATCTAACACCTTCACCAACAGAGAAGGGTAAATACAACTTCCCATCTCCCTTTTTTTTTTTTTGTTTGCCAAAATCCATCTGCTAGTCAGTATTCCGAGTACATTTTCTCTATATACTTGTATAGATACATAGCCATATTCATTTCCTTGAACCCACTTCAAATAATTCTCCACTCACACGAGTAGTGTCAATTGCAATAACTTGTTCCATTTTTGCGCGAGTCGTCTTTTACTTAATTATTAATGTTGCATTTACCGCAAAACGTTTATTGGTTGATGGGACCTCAAGTCCCGCCCGTCACTCCATTTGCCCGGCATAAGAGGGCCAGCCGTCGAGCAAACATCGACGCGTGTTTCCTCAATTGCATAAATCGAAAATTTGTGTTTTGGCGCGTGTTACGAATTTCAAAAACCGAAAGACGCTTCTCTAATTTTCCACTGGGCGCGGAGACAATATGAGACGGCAATGCAGACCTTACCTCTGTGCTTCTGGGTCTTCTGGTGCTTGGTAGGGCGGCAAAGTCTGTGGAGTTAACCAAGGCAGCCTGTTTGTCACCCAAGTCATTTACATGCCCCGCTCGCGTACGTGACTCACATATTTTTTTGGTCATTCGGCTTGGACAAGCTACTCGGGGATTTCTGTGGCTGTCAGACGTCGTCGTCGACGTCGTCACCGTCTGTGGCGAGCTTGGCTTACATTTGATGAAAATGTGGCTGCCTGCCTGCAACGTGCCGCGTGTGTGCCACTGGAGAAGCCCCTGGAGAGCAGCCAGTTGTCGTCTTCAAGTGAGTCACGCAGCTTTCTTTAAGTGCGCGCTGATAAAATATTTAAAATTCATTTCTAGCCTCTTAGTCGAGTGTGTCTCCGGTTCTTATCGCAGCTTGACTTGCAGTTATTTCCCACCCAGCCATCTCAATGCCCGTTAGCCACAAGTGCAGCAGAAACAAACCACGACACTATCCACCAACAACCATACTTTCGAATATTTTACACAATTGCACAAATGTTGGCGACAGCTCCAACCCATGCACTCTTATCGCGCAACTTCGAGTGTGCTTTGATTTACGGGTATGTGTGTGTGTATGTGTGTGTGCGGTAGAACACAGTTGCACATCGAAGCGCTCTCCTATCTACTTGTAGTCAATAAACAGCTAAACAACAATAAGAATTCAGTCTCCTGCCCCCCGCGCTGTCTGTTAAACTACGGACGCTCTACACAGTTGCAATTTAACTTTATTAGTTTTGCAATTGAGTTCCATATCACTTTGATTTACCTGGCATACATGCACTCGTATATATAGTATATATCTATGTATGTATGTGTGCGTTTTCTCTTTTACCTTTGTAATGCGCATATAGTAATTCCCTCTGCCAAAGACCCAAGCTCGCTGTGCACTTCTGCAGTTGTCATAAATTTACATTCTATATCCATACATACTCTATAGTATGTATCGCAAATCAAATAGGTGGAGCAAGTTCGCTTAGCAGAAGAACAAAATGAAATCGCACTGAATATTCTATAGTATGCACAAGTATATGAGAAAGTCGTTAAACATGACTATAGTTTTCTAGTATGAAAACTTAAGATGTATTTAAATACTTGAAAAGTACTCTTTTAAATATTAATAATCATGTATAATAATCATCAACTAGAATTTTGATCCAGCTTTATCTAAGTAATTTTATTCTTATAATTACTTCCGAATTTGAATTCTACAAGGCCTGTTGGCACATTTTAAAGAATATCGCACACCTCAACATAAATATATAATTTCAAAAATCATTTTCAGGAGGTAAATGTTCCTAAATGTAAATGTTTTTACCTTTTTAAAATTCAAACTTTTTAGTCCACTAAAACTGAAATGTTACAAATCACTTTTGAAATCACTTTTTAAATAATTCATTTAATGAATCATTTTAAAATATTTTAAAATATGAGAGGTTTCCTCTCCAATGCCTGTACATAACAAACAGAAATAAGAAAATCCAAAGGAACTCATGAAGATATTTAGATAGTTACTATAACTTAATTCCAATACTCATCACTAAATCTCCGAAATAAATTAGTCGCATATTTAAAATTTCTCTTTTTTAAAAAAAAAAAAGTTCGAACATAGCTCTCGAAACATATTTTTCATACGATTTAATATTTTATATTAAAATTAAAATTTAATTTAAAAGCATGCATTCAATAAGTTTCTATTCCATTGCGGAAACAATCTTAATTTAAAAATATTTTCAATGATTTTCCAACAACTACATTCTCAATTGTAAATTGTGCCGTTTCACTGAAAAATGGAATCGTCTGTTTCGATGCAGTATTTGGCTGTTGTTTTTGTTTTATTGTATCATTTCTTTGATACTGTGTGTTGTTTTATTTTTTATTTTTACAACGCACCTAACGAGGCCCGTCACCCGAGCACTGGAACCGCCCGACTGCCAGGCACTCACCTCGCACAGTTCAATTCTTTTGTTGATTTTTCTAGATTTGAAGCACTGATTGCGCGCGTTTTACAATCGCATGGCGCGGCAAGGTGTGAAGCAGCATGGAGGTGTTCCCCCTTGTTGGTGTTGCTATTGCTGCTTGAACCATGCCCTAAACCAATGTGTCTCCAGCTCTTTGGTAGTTTTGATCGACAGCTTGCCTAAAACTGTCAACGCGCTTTTATGGCACATTTCTTCGGCGATTCAACGATTTATTTGAGCTGTTGCCGCTGCCCGGCTGCCATTCGTTTCTTGTTTACACGACTGCTGCTGTTTGTTGTTGTTGTAGTTACTGTTATAGTTCCTATCAGCAGTATATATCAGAGCAACAGTTGCAGTTGGCTGACGCTTATTAGATTAAGATTATGTGCACAGTTGCTGGCCAAGTATTGAGGACTGTGCTGCAAGTTTGCATTGGAATGCTATAAATCTGAATATCAATTCAACCACTCACTCACTCACTCACTCATTCAATCGATTTTCTGGCTGCGTTTCAGCATATGCTGCCCATCAAACTTTTAATCAATTTCCCATAAATCACACGCCAAGTCAGCTACCGATATCTGGCTCCCCAAACCCTTCCCTTGCTCTCATGTTATAGTAAATATGGCGCGCCTGCATATCACGCAACACAAATTGCTTAACTATATGGAAAATTGACAAGTTTTGACGTCTGACAGCGCGGTTGTCCCCACTCTCCACAGCCCCCAACAACTCTGCACCTATCCCCCTCTGCCCAACTGCTCGCCACACTAGCATCGTTTGTTATGCATGATTTGCAGCAAAAATGCATAAATGTAAAAAAATGTACAAAAATGTGCACAATGTTCATGTATAAAAGAACAGTTGAGCTTCGCTATAACGAAGCAATAACCTGTTTTGTGATATAATAAATGCCTGATTTCCTTATAGCATTGATTTATAGTTCCATGTACTCTTCAATGTACATCTCTAACGATTACTTTACAATTCTATGATGATAATGACAAATGCCATGAAAGTTTCGAAAATTTAACCCGAAAGTGGTACAAATTGCAGTCAAACTTAATGTGGAGAAATAATTTTTAAACATTCATGAGCCTACCTACAGTGAAGTCTCTACCTACGGAAGTAATATCCGGGTAAAAAGTTTCTTTTAACAATATAATTATTAAACTCTTCTCCGAATGGTTGTCATAAAGAAGCCCATCTATACTAGAGTATGTGTTTGTGTGTGTGTGTTGATATATGTATGTACTTTTCTGCTTAAAGTTATATGTGAAAATGTATTTGCTGCCATCATTTTGTATCGCACTCCCTGCCTGCTTTTTCCCCGCCTTCCTGCCTGAATGGAATTGACGTGCCGTGTTCCTGCACATTTCAGTTGAAATTATTTTTACGTTTCTAGCCAATTTTCAAATAGAAAAACTTTTACTCAATGGCAGACTGACATGGCAGCGCAACATTTGATGGCAGTTTATTGAACTCAAAATCAAATATTGCATAAATTGCAGTAAAATTGATTAGAAAATTGTGGTACGCTTTATGCTTTATGCCATGCAATGACAATTCCATTAAAGAACACCAAGGATCATAATATTTTGCTAGGCGGCATCCGAGAGTCAATTTTCGAATTTAATACAATTTCAAAAGGAGACAAACGAAAAAAATATAATTGCTGGTGAAAAAGCGATGCAGTCTGACTGCCGGCCAACATCCTGTGCATCCTGTGAGCGTTATGTCGTCCCCTATTCGGGGTCCTCAGAGACCCAGACCAACCGCAGACGGAGATTGCAGCAACAGACGCGTCAAATGCAATGCAATGTCACTTAAATGCCACGCCACGTCTGTCAGACACACTGATGACGACTGTCGACAGGCAGAAGACAGGAGCAGGGTCGAAACTCAGACTCAGCCGCACTCTACTATGAATGAGACTTGCACTTTGACCTGGCAGTCGGGATCTGTCTGTCCAAATGTGTGTGTTAGTGTGTGTGAGTGTGTGTGAGTGTGTGTGAGTGTGTGTTTGTGACCTGCTTTACTCACATTGCAGCAGTCAGTTATTGCATGTGGCTCGGCTTTCTTTTCGAGTCCTTTGCTAATGTCAGGGCTACATCCGCTTAGACGATGGAAATTGGATTTTCACAGCTGGCACAAAGCGGTGCCAGACTGAGCGACAGAATGGCAACAAAAGCAGATTTCCTACGCTCCGTTTTAACTCCCATTTCCAATGGTTGCGCCTGTGAAATTTCGCATTATTCTCCTGTCAGGCCATTCGTCACAGCGTCTTAGTCCTGTCCCCCTCTATTTGAGTTCAAGCAATTTCAAGCCTCATTATTACCAATGGGACAGCGAACAATAAAAGCGACAATTTCCTTTAATTACATTCCATTTTTATGAAATGAAAACACATTTTCCAAAACTATCAAGCAAACTCATTTGAATGCTCTCCTGAAATTGAGTCATCGATTGGAAGCAGAAAGTAGTTTGCAGTTACTTTGAATTATGTGAGAAATTAGGATATATTGGGGAACTGATTTCTAAACACCCTGCATATATAATTAAACGATAATTTGAAATTAATTCGAAGAATAATATAACTTGAAGTCAGCTCTCTGCTTCATAGTTTAGTTGTGTAAATAAAAATAAAGCTTAGCCACTGTTGCTACGCCATTACTATCAAAATAAAATAAAGTTCGCTTGTTTTTGACAAAATTTTGGTTATACTATACTAGTCTATAATGCTAAGTCTGAGAAAGGTGTGGCTTCGGCCCCATTTGCCAACTGGTGCCTGGCATCGCAGTTGCAGCGGCGGAAAACTAAAACCTGGCGTAATGGCACAACTGATAACAGGTTACAAAAATCTGATTGTCTCGGACTCCAAATCGCTGCTGAAAAAGCATTTAACGCAAGAGATTTTTGACAAGCTCAAATCAAAGGTAACGCCCACATTTCATTCGTCGCTTCTTGATTGCATTCAGTCGGGCTTGTGCAATGTGGACTCTGGGGTTGGCATCTACGCTCCCGATCCTGAGGCGTACACAGTTTTTGCAGATCTATTTGATCCCATCATTGAGGACTATCATCGTGGATTTAAGAAGACCGACAAGCATCCAGAGCCTTGTTTTGGATCTGGCAAGGACTTTGAAAACCTCGATCCTCGCAACGAATTTATTGTGTCCACTCGCGTTCGTTGCGGACGCTCAGTGCAGTGCTTTCCCTTTAACCCCTGCATGACTGAGTTTGAATATTGCGAGCTAGAGGGCATGATATCGAACGCCTTGGGCTGTCTGAGAGGCCAATATTCGGGCTCCTATATGCCGCTCGCTGGAATGCAAAAGGAAACCCAGGAAGAACTGATTAATCAGCACTTTTTGTTTAAGGAGGGCGATCGCTTCCTGCAAGCGGCCAATGCGTCACGATTTTGGCCCGCTGGCCGAGGCATTTATTTTAATTGCGACAAGAACTTTCTGGTGTGGGTCAATGAGGAGGACCACATTCGCGTCATTTCCATGGAGAAAGGCGGTGATTTGGGCAAGGTGTATGATCGCATGATTGGTGGTGTCGAAACATTGGGAAAATTTCTACAGTTCAGCCATGATAAGCGTCTGGGCTTCTTGACATTCTGTCCCACCAATCTGGGTACCACTATACGCGCCTCCGTGCACATAAAGCTGCCTAGCCTGGCCGCCGACAAGGCCAAGTTGGAAGCCATCGCCAGCGAGCATAAGTTGCAAGTGCGAGGCACTCGCGGCGAGCACACTGAGGCCGAAGGCGGCATCTACGACATATCCAATAAGCGACGCATGGGACTGACTGAGTACGAGGCTGTGCGAGAGATGTACGAAGGCATTAAAGCACTGATCGAAGCTGAACGTAAGCTGGGCAGTGCCAGAAAATGAGAATTATTGTAGCCAAGAAATACTTTTAAAATAACATGCATTGTTTAAAAGAATTTGAATAGAATTCTTGATCATCGAGAGTTAGTTGTGAACTGTATAAATTATCGTGTAAACTTAAGCCATCCTTCACACCTTCAATTTGTGCCTGAATTTCTACTTCCGTCGGCCATTTTGCGTGCCTGCTCGCTTAGCTGCGCCAGCAGATATTGCGGTTGCCGCTGCCCATCCAGTCATTTCCTGTGCCACTAAGTTGTGCGGTTGATAGATAAGGTCTGCTGCTGCTCAGTTCCCGCCCCAAGCCACAAGCAGCGCCCCACATGAATAATATGGCCTGCAACTTGACGCACTTCAGTTCACGTCCAGGCCCAAAATGGCCAACTCTATACGTAAACTTGTGCAAATTCATTGAATGATTTATTTGGTGTGATTGCCGCTGCTGCTGTTGCACACACTTCCATTTCCACAGTCATTTCCACTTCGATTTCGCTTGCATTTCCACTGAGTACTAACCGACGCACAGTGGCGTGTTCTGATATTCTACTTTGCAATTGATATTAAAAATATTCATATTAAATGCTGGCCTTTGTTTCTGGCGCCCTTAAAATTTGTACATTTTTCATGAGTAGGAGCCTTTGTTGCACCTTGTTTGAGTCCGCAAAGATTGATAATCTATTAATACTTAATAATATAATATAATAATATATGTATATTATATATATATTAAACAAGAGAACGCTACAGTCGAGCAAGCCCGACAGTGTAATACCCTGTACCCAGGTAAACTTCCGTCACTGAGTTATATGCGCCCATAGCAGCAGCACAAAGAGGAAGAAGAAGAGCGAACTTGTTGCTGCAGTTTGTGGGGGTTGTACTGGCGAGAATTTGTTTCGCTAATAACTTTTCTTAGAATTGACCGAATTGAATAAAACAACAGTAGATAATTATATTGAAATTATGTGTGCAAAGTTTGGTTTAGGTAGCATTTGAAATGTGGACGCTATTGACGAAATTCTGTAGCGGGGGAAGGGGGGCAAAATTCCAAAAAATAAAATAAACTTGTCCTTACTCGGACTTAGGAGAATCTGGATGCCAACTTTGGTTATTCCAGCTTTTATAGTTTCTGAGATCCTTGCGTTCATCCAGACGGACGGACAGACGGACAGACGGACGGACATGTCTAGATCGATTTCTCTCGTCATGCTGATCAAGAATATATATACTTTATGGGGTCGGAGATGCTTCCTTCTGTATGTTACATACTTTGCACAATCCTAATATACCCTTTTTACCCTACGGGTACAGGGTATAAAAATTGGTACAATCTGCGTAACTCCAATTAGCTCCGCAAATTTTAATTTTAATTTTCAATTAATCCTGGGCGGTTTAAAAAAAATTTGTTTATTTGAGTCGATCTGGAGTTAAATCAAGCTTTACTCCAAGACTTGGAATTGTACAAGAATGAATTTTAAAACAGTGACCATAAAATATTCCTGGGCGGTTTATAAACAAATTTGTTTATTTGAGTCGATCTGGAGTTGCATCCAAGACTTGGAATTGTTCAAGAACGAATTTCAAAAAAAAATTTGTTTATTTGAGTCGATCTGGAGTTCCATCAACCTTTACTCCAAGAGCTAAAATTGTTTAAGAATGAATTACATCTGCGGCTGTGACTAAAATCGTAGCTCAACAACCAAATAGGTGTAAAACTAAATTTTACGATAATTACCAATCAATGAACACGGTCCCATTTTTCTTAAAAAATTATAAAGATTTTCGAAGCACAACATTTTGCATTTTTCCAAAGTTTTTTCAACGAACGACCCACGGTGTGGCGGTAACGACATCAGCCATCAAATGTTCAATCGCTCAGCTCTCGGTAGCCGTTTGCGGTCGGCAGAGGGCGCCAGTTGTTTGCTTCTGCCTTTGTGCATTTTAATTGGCCAGCCGGCAAGTGTTTTGATTGCTTTGTCATCAGCAGGGGGGGGGGGGGGGGGGGGGGGAGGGGCAAGGGCGATGGGCAAGGCAGTCAGGCAGGCACACTAATCAGCACCTCTCCTTTGAAATCTAACCGTTGCCCCATCCCTTTGTGAGTGTTTATTAATTATAAATTCCTTCAATTGCTCAAAGTGATGGTGATGGTGATGGGTGGATGCATGGATGGGTGGGGTGGGGTGGAGGGGGGAGCGCGTTGTATTTGCCATTGATTTCTTTTAGCTTTAACTAAACTGGGCAGCGCGGCATCAAAGTTAACATCGAAGCATCGCATTGCAGCCCATTGAAGCTGAAGTGAATTTCTCGCAAAGCGCAAAGAGCAAAAAGCATTTCAATTGAGATTTATTGCGGCGTGTTGTGCACTGCTACTTTGTACGTGTGTCTGTGTGTGTGTGTGTGTATGTGTAAGAGAGGTGGGTGGGTGTGAGGGGTGTTTGCCAGCTTTGCATGCAGCTGCTTTACTTGCCATTGCCTCATCTACTTTACAAGTTGTTGCTATTGCCTGAATCCGGAGATCCAGCAGAAGCTAAGGTTGTGGGGCAGGGGGCGGGGTTCGACTCCCAACTCAGACTCGCTTTAGTTAAATCTAGATTGAAATTTATTGTAGTAGTATTGCTGCACTACTCTGCTATAGCCCCCTCCCGTTCACTCCCGTTCACTCCCTTTCACCAGCTCGCACTGCGCTACTCTCTGCATGGCCTGGCAAAGTCAATTCCTTTGATTTGTGGCGCTTTTGCGTGCAATTTTAAAAATTGAAAATCACAGTCGCCTGCTGCCGACTGCCCCGCAATCCTTTCACATCCTGTGCGCCTGTGTGCGCACTGGCTCTCGCCCAAATGAATTCGTATATGCACAGCGCGTATTTACTTTTATCGTGATTTATGCGCCACAATTGATATTGAGGTTAATAAATTGAAGGTTGAGCGCCCAGTTCCAGCTCCAGCCCCAGTCCCAATCCTAGTGCCCGAAATCAAAACGATTCTCTAAATTGAGCTCAAGTGCATCTCAATAGTCAACGATTTTTAGTTTTAAAGTTCACTTCAATTTACCAAAAGAGTTGTTCTTCGTGGCTGATTTGTATACCAAACATGTTGGGTTTGAAGACTCATGCACATACTCGTACCATTGTTGCTGTGGACGAGAAAAAAGGTCATCTGACTATTTAACCCTTTTACGCTTTACTATGTTTTATGGCTTTGCCTCATGCTTGACCTTGACAGCCGGCCAACTGCGACTTTAACTCGACTTGGCTTGTCCGGAGGATGTTTGGCAAGATTCCGGCTAACCTTTTGTGTTTATTTCCTTTAGCATGCGCATTTGGTTTTTATGCGGAAATACACAGGAATTTTGAATGAACTACCTAGAGGTTAATTATGTAATGTCGTTTACTGTCGGGCTGATAGAATTTTACATCAACCACATGAGTTCAGTTGTAAATTTAGAAACTTCAGGGCGAAGGTCAGACAGCTGTAAGACATTTTCTTTATAGCACTTAATTTTACTTAACTGGAAAAGGCGAAATGTATTCAAAGAATTTAAAGAAATTTACATATAACTACATCGACATCATTAAAACTTGGAATAATTTCATTATTTAGTTTCTTGCCATTCGACATACGCAGCTGTTAAAGAAAGGACGGTATAATATTTTTAAATGTGTTTACATTTTATAAATATGCAGCTGCTATGGAGTGCTTTAGATTAATAATTTATAATTATAATAAATGTTATCGAAAGTCTATTTAGAAACATTGGCCGATCGGTTTAACATTTCATTTAAATTTTATGGTTTGTATAAGCGTTTAATTAGATGATGTTCCTACTGAGATACATGTTTTTAAAACTTATCTAATGTAATATATTTTCATCAAAATGTAATAAAAATGTAACATTAATTTTTAATAATTGCCTAATCGGACGAGAAACTATTTGATTTATATATAGAGAATGAATTCTGTTTAAAAGAGAACTGCTAGAAAAAATTTAATAACATTAAACAATCAATAACATTAAATTGTAATCTACAATATTTTACCAACATTTTGCTTGAAAGTGTTTATTCAAACAGAACGCTTTTTCTATACATAAATCAAATAGTTTAATGTCCGCAATTAAGCAATTAATTAATTGTTCCTTTTTAACTTATGAGCTTAAATCAGCTTTTATATGTGTCCGATAATTTTCATTTCTACTTTTTGTTTATAGAAAATGCTGCATAAATTCTCGTAATTTATTTTCATTGCAAATACTCACCCATAAATCAGGCATTGCTAATCCTTGGTCCTTTGATATGAATTTAGTCGCTAGCCCTTGGCAGCTGTCTCTTCACACCGTAGAAGCCCTCTTTCCCATTGGAAAATGCAATTGCAAACAATAAAAAAGCAATCAAATAATGGCTGGCTTTAAAAAACTTGCTCTTAAATTGGAAACTTTGTAAAAAGTTGTTGTGCACTATAAAAACCAAACAAAAGCAGAAAAGTAGAAAACAGAAACCAAACGCATGCCAAACAAACGACAGAAATGCGAGTATGTGTAAAATTTGTGAATATTTTTGCATGAGCAGAAATATTTCCGCAGCTTCAAAGTTTCAACTCGATAACAGCACACAACACACAACTCGCAAGCAAATAAGCAGGCAGCCAAGAGTTGAGTTAATACGGAAAACAAACGCCCCCGCTTAACCCGGCCAAAAGCTGCGCCGAACTCTCGATATGGAACTGGGTGAACTGCGATGAACTGCGTCGAACTCTTTGGCAACTCTTTGGTTTTGTCGTTCGACATTTGTAGACAATGTTTCGAATCACAGCACTATTCAGTCAAAAAAGGAAACCAAGTTTGGTTTGCAAAAGAGAGAGAGGGAGCAGTTGAATCTAATAAAATGCATTGGAAAGGAAAGCTTTACATCGCTCACAAATTCCTTTGCACTAGAAAGCATGTTAAGGGAGCGTTTTATTATAAATTTATAAAAGAACTCTTAGGACCAGCTATGTCATATTTGTCAGCCAAATGTATATAGTACGTTATTAGAAATTAAAAACATAGTGTTGAAAATAAAAATAAAATTTTAAAAATTAAAGAATAACTAATCAAAACAACAGGCCATGACACTTCAACACATTTTACTTGTTTTTTTATGTCCACTTATTCAGTTTTTTTCCGCTATTCAATTTCAAAAACAATAATTTTGAATTATTTATTAAGATTTTCTGAGCCCATTTTTTCATTTCAGTTCAGTTACTCAGATTTGATTTTTGATACAAATATGCTTACAAACAATAAGTACAGAAATTGAAGAATAAATAATCAAAACAACAGGCCATGACACTTCAACACATTTTACTTGTTTTTTTTATGTCCACTTATTCAGTTTTTTTCCGCTATTCAATTTCAAAAACAATAATTTTGAATTATTTATTAAGATTTTCTAAGCCCATTTTTCATTTCATTTCAGTTATCCAGATTTGATTTCTGATACAAATATAATAATAATAATAACAGTTCTTAAAAAATATTTATTAAAATAAAAAATAATTTAATGTGGATGTTGATCTTTAATCAAAATAAACTTGAATTTTGTAAATATTTTAATATGCTTAACTAATAAAGTTAACTTCGAAATCAAAGCTTTAAATGAAATGTTAAATTAATATTTGTTGCAAATAAATAGTCAACTTTATTCTTGATTGAAATCTACCAATTATTTCCGATGACAATTTGGGGCTAGCCGAGTGATCGGAGCTGTACTAAGATATATGTATGTGGTGTAAAAGTCAGTAGTTACTGGCGATAAATACGATAGAGAGTGGCAGACCCTTACCATACCCTTACCCTTACCCTGTACACACATACTTGTAGTACTGCTGCCCTATTGCTGCCGCATGTCTTTTGGCTGCCGCCTTCACGGAATTTTGGCTTCTGTGCCAGTCAGGCTGCCCCCTCGCCCTTTCCCTCTCCATCTCACTCCTTGGCTGAAACATTTCCTGCCATTGCTTTCATTTGCTTTCCTTTCCATTGCTTGCACTATAGTATTGTTGTTATCTGATTTCAAACTATATCCCGAACTTCATACCCCTGCCTTGTTACTAACAAAGTTTTAGCTTTGCCCGCAACTTTACCAAGCAACCAAGCAACCAACCAACCAACGAACTCCGGCAACAAGCAGGAGCAGAATTAGAAGTGGATGTGGAAGATGTTGGGGTGGAGGAAGGAGAAGATGAAGAGGAAGAAGCGGCATCACTAAGCAGTTGTCGCTCGATTTGGCTGCTGCTGCTGCAGCAAGTTAGTCGTGTGGCATGTTGCACATTGTTTGCTGCACTGCAATTGTTGTTCCGCACAGTTGCGTTTCCCCCGTTTGCGCTTTAGCAGCAATTTTTATATGGAAAAGTTTTTTCATTTAACCAACAACTGTGCTTGTAATGCTTGTAAATGCGTTCGATTAATGAATTGGAACAGATTTAGTTCGTAACCCCCACCCTCAGTGCTCTCTTTTGATTTTTTTTTTTTGTTTCTTTGGCCTGCCCGCAACATTTACGCTAAGTAATTTGTGTTGTGCTCTGTGTGGACCAGGCCGACAACTTTGTTGCCTGCTGATCTGGTCAACCTCAACGGCATTCTGGTTAGGTTGCTAGGCTAATGGCACCCACACGCCACATTTATCGCCTTTAATTTACGAGCTTAATTATGCGGCTTCCTAGGGTAGCTGAGTTCTGAGTCGTAGTTGCTTGGAGTCGAGTTCGGCACCATTTTAGGCAAATTTTTTCTAACATACTAGTATTTATGACATGCACATGCGTTGTTTATAGCGCTCGATTAGTGTGGGACAAAGCATTTCCAATAAGCTGTAGAGTTCTGCGCCTGGATAAGGCGCGATTTGGTGTGTAGGGTATAGGGTGTGGGCTGTGACACGCGGTCGCTCCCCCACCCCCACCTCCATCTACTGGCCGGCTGTCAATTTACCAGGCAATAAATTTTAATATTGTCGCACACAGACAACCCCAGTGCACACATATTTTGGGCCCTGGATTCCATTCAATGCTATGTTCTATTTATCTATGCGGGTTATCAGCCAGCGTTGACGGCTAACTTGTGGAACTATGATCCAGGGCTTTGCCTAAGCGTTACATACACATTTTTACATCAAAAATTATATGTACATATGATGTGCGTGTATATATATGTATATGTATGGATGTATGTCGGACTTGTGCTACTACTTGCCCAACTACCCATAATTAGCTTTGCTTGCCACTCGCACTCTCTAAAATGGTGTGAATTATTTGTTGGGCTTAACTCTTTGCTTTTTTTACAACCGCCTTTATTACTGCTGTGTACCGACTGTTCATGTCCGTTGTTGGTCCGTTGTCCGATTGTTATATCTTAATTTTCTTTAATGGCTTATTATGAACAGACGACCAACTCCAACTTCAATTCCAACTGCATTGCATTGCATTTTAGGCATTCTTTATGGCATGCCATGCGAGTCCGGGCTCTGAAATCCGGGGCCGGCCGCCGGCCGCTGGCTGTGTCTGCGTGTCAACGTCAGGGGCTGCGTCTCTCATCCCATCTCCCTGACCCGCCAGCCAGTAAGTGAGCCACCGACCGGCCACTGATAATGGCGTGTGATTGACAATTGTTTTTTGGTTTTTTTTCTGTTCAACTTGCCAACCATTTGCGATAATGATAATAATAATAATATGTATGTAATAATATTTTTATGCCGCTGCCATAAATCGTGTTTATTTATGGAAAATGAGATTTGTAGTGGCGCGTTAATTGCTCTGCTGCTATAGCGGCTGTCGTCGTTCAGACAGAACGGCAGACAGACGGACGGCCAAATAGACAATCTTTCGAATTAAATTGCGGCCTCTGCTGAAATCAACAAAACGCATGGCAATGTCATGATCGGAATGCCACTGAATAGACAACACCCGACATTGAACGTAGTTCATCAGTATATTTGGAATTTCATCAGCATTCTTGATTATTGCAATTGTAGATAGATTGATAATATAATAACTTGTTTGTTCATTTCTAATCAACCAATAAATGAAGATAATCAGCAGCTTTGGAGAACACTCCAGCAAACGATAAAGCATTTATAAGAAAAGATGAAAAGGCTCTTTAAAAATGTTTGATAGAAGAAATATAAACATATAAACTCATCTTGCATTCTAGCAGAATTATGCAAGGACGAAACATTCCACAGACTTCCCTTCCTTAATAAGCAGAGCTACAGTGCTGTTAAAACTTTGTCAAGATACGAGTACAGTTTAGCTAAGAATCTTTAATTTTTTAGATTGTGTAGCCCAATTAAAGAGTAATAGTGGGGATCAGGAAACAGCAGGAGTTAACAATATACGATGTGATACAAGTTTGGATTTATAGCAGACGTCAATGTGGCTTCCTCCGCACGTGTAAAGCATTGCTTCAGAATTCTGTTGTCCATACACGGGGACAAGCTATTTGTTGTCCAAGCTGCCAATCCAGCTATTCGATGTAAAATCATTTATTTATACCAATGTTTATTAATTCAGTATTTATAAGCTTCAAATGACAAATGGCTGTAGCTGAGCCAGCGTCAATAGCCGTGCTCAACGATAAATGCTATCATGCCCTCAATACCCAGTTCAGCGTCCAATTGATTTGTCAGCCAGGTGAGCAGTCTGCTGCCACCCAGTGCGTCAGCATCAGCTCGACTGAGGGACTCAGATAGCGATGGTCTTTGCAGTCTTTCCAGCGAAGTGAGCTGTTTAGCTGCCTTCAATGGCCATTGACAGCCATGGTGGACCAGCGAGTGGCGCATTGGCGCGCCTGCTGTCTAGTTAAGGCGAATTCCCCTTGGGTGTTGCACTGCGACGAGACAAAAACAAACAAAACGCAGACGGGCAGACTATCGGACGATCCATGGCCGATCGAGTCAGTGTTTGCGCCCAGGCAGAGCTAAAACCAAACAAAACAAAGCAAAACAAAGGCATTGAAGCTAAATAGCCAAACCACCCAGGAAAATCACGATGAGCGCACGGGAACAACAAAAACAACTGCCTGGCTGCCTGACTGCCTGACTGACTAACTGAGTGAGTGACTAACTGAGCGACTGATGCATGAGCAGATAGACTGTTGCGGTTGCTGTTGCCGAGGTCGAGCGAAAAGGGAAGAGGATGCTCGTACAGGGAGGAGGGCGAGGCAACGACAGCAGCAACACCTCTTGTTAGTTTTGCTGATCATGATCACGGTCTGCCTCTCAACAGAGATTCTCCGATTTGTAGCTGCCCAGCGGCCAAATGATTTTGGGCTTAAGACAAAGCCAAAGCATGGTATTTTCTTCTTTTTTTTTTTGGGCGAGTATTGTTGTAAAGTTGTTGTTTCGTGCCCCATGCTCTTCAATCACTGAGTCTGCAGTTCATGTTTCATTTTGAAGATTGCTCTGCGATCAAGTTGCCAGTCTTCTCTCCTCTGTGTCGTGCTTTGCTGTTGAATTTACTTATTGTGGGTGGGTGTGCACTTTTATAAATCAGGGATCAACTCGTTTTAAACAAATTTATCATGTTTTCTAACATTCTTATGAATATAAATAAATAAAGCTGTTTTCTTTTTTCCAGTCACTGCTTTTGGATGCAACGCTGGGTATAGAAATATGTAAGTTTGTTTTATATTTAAATAACAAAATACATAATAAGTAAGAACAGGCAGAAGAAATTAAAAAATTTTAAAAATAACTTGGAATATTTGAATTTGTTTCTTATAACCGAAGAAAGATCTGCATATCAAGTTCGAATATTTCTCCTTGTTTATTGTTTGGATTAAGATGAATTTTTAGGCATAACTAAACAACTGCCTTGTAAAATGTATTTTTCTTTTAAAATTTCCGTTTTTAAATATGTTTGGATATTCATAGCACTGGTAATGGTATTCAGTATAAATTTCGTTTGCAATAGATCACTTATTTTGTCATTAAGGTGTCAGTTTATCCTCTGCTTTACCGGGTGGGTCGTTTCTGAACAGCTTGGCCAGCCAGCTCTGTACTTATCTGGCCATAAAGCAAACAAGCGCCCCATTGTAAGTTCATTAGTGGCAATGCTCACGATTTCCTTGTTATTGTTGCTGTTGTAGTTGTTCTGTGCTGTACGCGATGATCCTCCTGCAGTGCAGTTTCCGCAGCAAACGAAATGCATATAAACATGAGATTTTTGTTACGACTTGTTGTTGCGACTGTTGTTTTGGCATACCATACGCTTTAAGCTTCCAGAATCAGCATACACACCTAGCCTTGTCTTCTCTCCTCTCCTCCCCTCTCCACCCCTCTCGTCTCCTCTGTTGCGTTCTGCGGTGGGATCCGATCGTAGCTCCTAACTAGGCAAAATCACTCATAGTGCGCCACATGTTGCGAACCTCCGAAACTTTAAACCGGATTGCAGTCGCAACAGTCGCCCCATGTAGCAAGCCAGCCAGCAAGCAGTCAGGCAGGCAGTCTTCTGGTCTTGCGATCTTCTGGTCTTTTGTGTTCTTTTCTGGGCATGTTGTTGTAGCACGATCGCGCACACGAGCGGCGCATTTTTAATAAACACATACATACATACATACACACAACATACACGTACCTATACAAACAAACGGGCCTAACGACCGGACTCGAGTCCGAAACAGACCAACTGAGGCACCCTGCAGCTATTTCCACAACCATGGTGCATGATGGTGTACAAGTATTGAACCGAGCGCGCCAAACCATTGAGTCAAAGCCAAAAGTCAAAACGTGAGCCTTGTCTGGCAGGCAATCGCAATCGCACTGGCAAACTCCAAACCCCAAGCCCCAGTCCCCCCAACGGCCCATCTCGGGCTGAGTCTTCCATATGCTCGATCTTGGCATTTATGTGTGTTGTTGTTGTTGTTGTTGTTGTTCTTGTTGCTGTTATTGCTGATGGTGTGTTCTCCCCAGTTTTTTACGTGCTTTTTATCGCTCTTTTAGCAGTCACAGTCGCGCAGTCGCTAACAAGGCAATGGTAGCGACAACGGCAACTCGTTAAGAGCGGCCACAGTTTTGTGCTTGGACTCGGTCTTGGGCTTGGGCTTGGGTTTTGGGTTCGGGTTCGGCGTTTTGGCGTTATCTGGTAACAACGTGTTACGAATTACTTTTAACAAGACCCTTAGCAGATAAAAACCTGAAAACCGGTCAAACGTGGAACCCGTCCACACAAACAGAGAGCGGAGCGAAAGAGAAAGAGTGCGCGAGAGTGCGAGAGAGGGCATGGAACGTGCGCTCATTAGTGGTGTGCGCTCACTGGGTGCTCACGAGTGCAGCAGTGTGCGTAATTAGCGAGCGAGTGCAGTACAGGAAGAGCTTGCAATTAACATGGTTTAGCCGCCGAGTATCAGCCTAAGTCAGATCCGGTAGTCGTTGGTTCCTTCGTTGGTTCGATTGTTATGCACTGATAAGTATGCTGTGCAGCTTGTTCTGTTCACGTTGTTGATGGCATGTGCAGCATAGGCCCGGCATATTTAATGGGCTGGGTAATGAGATAGACACGACACCCTGTTCCTCACGTGCAAGCCATACAACAAGCCGTGCATGCGCCTGCACTCTTCTTCACGTACCAGCCTAGTACGTGAGACACCCTGCTGCCCACCACCAACGAATGCTCCTCAGCCTCTAGCTGGGCTGGGTGTATTGGAAAATCATTTTATAGAGAGTGAAAGGCATGAAAATATGTCACACAGACAACCCAAGTGACGAAGAGGGGTGGTGGGTGTTTAGGGCAGTGTGCGAATTAGTGCACATGCGAGACCTAGATAAAGAGCTGCCCTGCCAATGTATCACCAAAGTGCAACCACTAATATGAATCAAGGGAGTTTCAAAAACTGCCTTACTTGCGTACGAATTTATATCCTCAAAAGGAAACTCGTTAAGCTGTGGTTAGACATTCATAAAATGTTTATAATAAGTCTTTGAAAAATACCTGCGAACGCAATCGCTTTTAATAAAAATATAATATTAATTCATGGCAAATTTGTTGGGAAATTATTTGCTTGTCTGCCCATTCTTAGAGATAAGTAGTTCGACTAATATACATATTCAATTGAAACGTTGAAATATTTGCACCAATTCAATCTTATGAGAGGCATTCAAAAACTGAATATAATAAGTCTTTGAAAAATAATTATTTAATTATTTAAAATAAAATGCAACATTATGTTCAAGACAAATTTGCTTGTAAATTATTTGCTTGTCTGACCATTCCTACAGATATTTCAACTAATGTTTCCAGTTGAAACGCTTAAATATTTGCATAAAATCAATTTTATGGTAGACATTCAAAACCTGTGTGTAATAAGTCTTGGAAAAATAACTCCAAAAGCAGTATAGAATTCTAATCGCTTTTAATTAAAGTGCAACATTATGTTCATGACAAGTTTGCTTGTAAATTATTTGCTTGTCTGACCATTCCTACAGATATTTCAACTAATGTTTCCAGTTGAAACGCTTTAATATAGTAGTTGCACAAAATCTTTCTTATGGGAGAGAGTACACAACAGGCAACACATTCCACTCTCCGCTCATACTCTCGGCATGCTGGCGCTCTTTTGCCGCTCCCGGGCGCGTTTGTCGCTCTCGGCTGCCGCCACTACAGCAGTGGTGCTCAGTTCGCCTCTGACGATCGAGCCGTGCGGTTTGGTATTTTTTTACGCGCAACAGCACGCGAGTTTTGTTCGACAAACTTTTTGGACAATTGTGCGATTTATTTCCTGAGATTGCGACCCGTGCTTGACTTTTGTGCGCGTTAATTGCACCTTTTCAAACTTCAATTAATCAATAAAAAGAAACGAGCTACGAGTTATAGTACTATATAGTACATAAAACGGTAACGCTGCTGTGTATTTTTTCGCTGTTGTCACTTGAAGTTGCAGTCAAAGTCTCAGTTGGTCGGTGGTGCGTCGCTGTCGCTGTCGCTGTCTGGTGGTTGTCGCCACCACACATTGTGTGGCTTTTGCTACGAATCGTTTTCGTTTTTGTCGCACAAAATGCCGTAAATGAATTTCGTTATGCTGCCATTGTAAACGGCCAAAATACAAATATAAATACAAATACGAAACAGAAACAAAATAAAAAGCTGTCATAAATAAAAAGAAGTAAATAAAACAACGCGTTCCGTGTGCTACAATAACAATAACAAGAAGCGGCGGCGCTGACCGCAAAACGAGTTATGAAAATACAACAAATTGTAGCTACAAACGTGCGTCGTCTGTCGTCCGTCGTCTTCGTTCCAGGCCTCTCGGTATTGTTGTGTATATAGTATGTGTGTAAATTGTTATAAAGAAACAAGATTTGCCTTGCCGCTCGCTCTTGTTGTTGGACATTTGGCCGATCTGTGATCGATGACGCTGCCAACAACACTAACAACACACACAGCACACTAACAGCAACAACAAGCGTCAACTGAAATTGGATTTTGGCGTCGTAGCTGTCGCTGTCTACTTGAATCTGACACTCGAAGCGTCGTGTCTCTCAAAAACACCAACATCAAGTACTGCAACAGCAACAACAACAACAATAACAAGAATAGTTTCGGTACATGAAATTTTAATTAAAAAATCTGTTGCAAGCCGCAGCACACCGCACCGTAAAAATAAACCAAGAAATTATCTCGAAGACAGACAGCTTGTAAGCTTGTAAGAAAACGTGAAATTGGATTAACTGACAAGTCAGTTGTCAGGCGCCGTGGTTTTATAATTACATACCGACCGACTACGGAGCTAACTAATCGATCATAACGGCAATGCAGTGCAGCAGGTATGTGCAGCAGAATTCAAGGAATTTTACTTCATAAGTGACATAGCAAGGCTCCCCCTTAATAGACTTCCTTTGTGGGCGTACAATTAAATTAGATTGGCCTTAAACTTGAAAAGATTGATCCCCAAAATGCAAGAAGGCATTCTATACTTAACTTTGTGGATATGTTCTTTTTAATTCAACTTGGATTAATGTCGTATATAATCAATCCATTTTCCTATATTATTTATCCTATTCGAATCAAAATAAATCCAACATAATTATGCTCCCCCTTAATAGACTTCCTTTTTAGGCGTACAATTAAATTAGATTGGCCTTAAACTTGAAAAGATTGATCCCTAGAATGCAAGAAGTCATTCTATACTTAACTACTTGTATGTGGATCTGTTCCTTTAAATTCAACTTGGATTAATGTCGTATATAATCAATCCATTTTCCTACATTATTTATCCAACATAATTATGCAAAAATATAAGAAGATTCCTAAATCACAAGAAGAGTCGTGAATATATTTTTTTTTAAATAACAATTTGTGGGGAACATAAGAATTTTACTCAAATCTTTGCCTAGTATTCCAAAAACGCAATTGACAGAGCAGGAATCTTATTTATTGCTTTAGCACGCATTTGCAAAGATATTTATATCTAATCCTACTAAGTTTAGTTTTATAATTTATAAATTCTTTCAAGAAAATTATGAACATTCTTTCAATATTAATCGAAAATTTGTATTAAAGAGGTTATTTAAGAATCGAAAAAATTATCGCGTTAGGAAAATAATATTAACCAAAATTGTTATAATTTACACAAAAGCTAAATATCTGCAAATAAAAATATACAGAAAACAGTTGGTC